GGGGGGGGGGGGGGGGGGGGGGAGGAATCGGGGGACGTTACCCGTGAGTGAGTTAGTCTGAATAACTTATGTTTTTTTTACACCTGATTGAATGAGAAAGTTCACTTGGAGATTACACTTACATCTGGAAATACGGGTTAGGTAGGTTAGGGTTAGGCTTGCTTACCTCGTCTTTTCCTGGAAGATAAACATCAATGGAATTCTGACCTTGAGTGGTCACGGGTTTCACGAGAAGATCCTTACCTACACAGAAAAACAGCTTAAATAAATAACAGTTGATTTGATTTCTTAGAGCCGGGAAGGGTCTTTTGGGTCTTTAAACGGTCTGAACTCCTCTAAAATAACTCACCACCCCGACATTTTCTATAGAGTGCCCGTCTGTCCGTGATCGCAATAACTCACATCACAAATCCGCACAGGCGGGGTTCATGAAAAATTACCTTGGTGAACAGGTTCATGTCTTTTGCAAAACTTCAGATTTCCTCATCAAAAGTGGCAGAACAATGCACCAAATTTTTCTGACGGATGGCCCTGATAATGCATTTTTAAAGAAATAAGAAACCGACATACCAAGCAAGAACTCATCTTCCATCGCAAACGTGTTCTTCTCTTCTGGATACTCCACCCAAAGAGGCCTAGAGTGAAAATAGAAATCAACTGTTGGTTAACAATGCCAAACGAACCATACTGGCAGGGAGAGCCATACTTTACGTTTCTGTTGAGACCATCACCAATAGATGGGTGTGGGAAGGTGCTTGAGTAAACTGAAAGAGCCGCAAGAGAACGTGAAGGTAACCATGACAACCCTCTGAGGGGTAACAACCAGGCAACGTCATTCAGTGAAGCTCAGTGGAAAGTTTTGAGATACTTACCAAGACCCACACAGAGAGGGAGGGGGGGGAGGGGGGCTGGGAGCAAACAGGCCTTGACACAAGCACAAGTAAAGACAACGCGTGCGAAATGACTTCACCTGCAAAGGAGTGCTGTAAAAATACTGGGCCCTGAAAAAGCCCTTAGTCCGCCCCACATACGATTGGTAACGGAGACCGCTGCCCAGCATTGTCTTGTGTTTAACCTCGCCTAACTTACGTTCAGCCACATTTTAAGGCCCCTTTCCAAGGGCCTTTCCTTCAACTCAGCTTTTTCTGAGGTAATCTAAAGGAGGGTGTAAACTGTGTTTAGATTTTCGTCAATCCTTACTTTACTATGAGCGAGAAACCTAATAAAAGAAGCTAATAAACCTAAATGAAACCAGTTTAAACTTTTAACGAAGAGGGTTTTTAATGTGAATAGCAAAAAAACCTTAAACAAAGGCCTAACATTTGTAGTTGTCGTTAATTTCAAACTACTGCAGCCCAGTTAACCAGAAGTCAAAACCATCTTGCAAGGTTGTCAAAAAGATTTTAGGTAGCAGGAGAATAACAGAAAGTAGCAGGCATGTGTTTCGCAAGTGGGGAAACACATATCACTAGGGATATCTGTTTCCCAGGTGGGGAAACACATATCATTAGGGATATGTGTTTCCCAGGTGGGGGAACACATTTCACTAGGAATATGTGTTTCCCAGGTGGGGGAACACATATCACTAGGGATATGTGTTTCCCAGGTAGGGGGAACACAGATCACTAGGGATATGTGTTTCCCAGGTGGGGGAAAACATTTCACTAGGGATATGAGTTTTCCAGGTGGGGGAACACATATCACTAGGGATATGTGTTTCCCAGGTGGGGGAACACATTTCACTAGGGATATGTGTTTCCCAGGTGGGGGAACATATTTCACTAGGGATATGTGTTTCCCAGGTGGGGGGCACACAGATCACTAGGGATATGTGTTTCCCAGGTGGGGGAAAACATTTCACTAGGGATATGAGTTTCTCAGGTGGGGGAACACATATCACTAGGGATATGTGTTTCTCAGGTGGGGGAACACATTTCACTAGGGATATGTGTTTCCCAGGTGGGGGAACACATATCACTAGGGATATGTGTTTCCCAGGTGGGGGAACACATTTCACTAGGGATATGTGTTTCCCAGGTGGGGGCACACAGATCACTAGGGATATGTGTTTCCCAGGTGGGGGAACACATATCACTAGGGATATGTGTTTCCCAGGTGGGGGAACACATTTCACTAAGGATATGTGTTTCCCAGGTGGGGGAACACATATCACTAGGGATATGTGTTTCCCAGGTGGGGACACACAGATCACTAGGGATATGTGTTTCCCAGGTAGGGGGAACACATATCACCAGGGATATGTGTTTCCCAGGTGGGGGAACACATATCACTGGGGATATGTGTTTCCCAGGTGGGGGAACACATATCGCTAGGGATATGTGTTTCCCAGGTGAGGGAACACATATCACTACGGATACGTGTTTTCCAAGTGGGGGAACACATATCACTAGGGATAT